TTGTGGACCGAGTTGTTGTCATCTTGATCTGCTAGTAACCCGACTCTAGGTTCGGCTTCGAAAAGATCGTTGCATCACGCAGTTGGTCTAGAAGATTGTCTATGCGCAGTATGGCGTATTTGTTTTTTATTGTCTGTTTGTACAGTGCGCGGTAGTCAATGCACATCCGTAAACTACCGTCCGACTTTGGAGTGTAGAGAACTAGTGCACCGTAGGGATTGGTGGATGGGCGGATCAGTTGTTTGTTCAATAGATACTCTATTTACCTTTTCATGTCTATCAACACGTGAGACCGGTTTCGCACGATCTCGTGCTCGTGGGTTCGCGCTAGAGGTACTCCTGTAGGTAGGTCATCTTGCATGATGTCGTTGTATTTCTCCAACACCTCCTGTTGCGCTGCAGGTAGCTCCATTTTTGGCTTCTCCTCCTCTGCTGGTGCCATTTGTACCGTGCAGGTGTCGTTTTAGGAACATCCCTGTCTCCGTCCAGCTTCGTAGCTCCACTCGTTTCCCGTTAGTGTAGATGCACGCCTTCTGGTTGACCCAGTCAATCTCGGGGTTGAACCACTTCAAGAAATCTCGCCCGAAGATGAAATCTAACCCTTTGATGTTCGTGATTGGCAACGTCGGCTTCCATCTCAATGTTGAGAGCTATTTTGGGACCTAGAAGCTCTAAGTACACCCTTAATCAACGCTAGATAGTCCTCACGGGGTCACCTCCAAGGGTCCTTGGGTGCCTGGTAAAAGCAGCCCCTATCCAAGGGTCCGTGTTTGTTGAAGGACGTTTCAAGCGTGAAAGCAATCGTGTCCACTAGAGCACTCCCAAGCTCATATGCGGAAGCGTTAACGATCGATTGGCTCGTACGCAGAAATTTCTCCTTGCTTCAATACATCGATAGAGAAAATATTCACTCCAAATTGTTTTTTTCACTGAAGCACAAGCACACATATATAGAACTACTAATGCACGAGCAAAGCAAACACAAGGCAAGCATTTACCAGTTATAAAACTGTAATATATGTTGTGCCAACACATTATAGTGGCACGGTCATCGCACTCCCATTCGGCCTACAAACCTGCTCAGTTTTTGGAATTTTGTGGGGCGATTTTTCAACATGTGTTCTTCAAACCCTCAAAGTTTCAGAGTTTTTGAAGCAGTTACTAAGGCATGACAACATTTTATGTTTCAAGACTTATGGCATCCCGGAAGTGTGTGTTACTCCTTTTTGGTAACACCCGAGTTCACCATTTCGGCTGCTGACTCGTCGACCGAGATCTGATTGGTCTGAAGTTCGGTCTGGCAGTTCTTTGCCCCGCTGTGCAGGTGATCACTATGTTTCAGAACGATCCAACGTCTGAGCATTTCGTGACAGCTGCCGAAATTCACTGTTCCGTAGTCATGGTGCACTGTTGGCAGCATTTCCCTTGCCACCCTTTCATTGTTGTCGTGCTAATGGTGCAGGGACAGAGAATGAGACAAGAAGTACAGGTGGTCAATTGGGAATCTACAACACTCCTTTTGAGAAGTGTGGTCTTCCTGGAAGCAGCTTGCAAGGGGGTGCAAGTGGGAAGACAAGCTGACTCATGTTGGCTTGACTCACTATTGGTAGCCTTGAGTACAGCTCTGAACATCCAAGTGTGGTTGGCTTTGCTGACCTAGCTAGGAGGTTTCCCATTCTTCTCTAGCCTTTCTCCCCTAGAACTCAACCTTCTCTGAGTTACCAGGATGACCCAACTCCTTATGAGTCCCCTAGGCAATGTTGTACTAACCTCTTCCTTGCATCAATGAAACTACACGTTTTTCAGCCGAGCTTACGTTTTCGTTCACTGCGTAGTGCACACACCTCTGATAATAGTAAGTAATATACCGTTGGAAAGCAGACACTTAAGGCTAACTGCTGTAGAAGTTTCAGCTTCGTATTATTTCGGAGCTGTTCGTGACGGCGTTTTGAACAGAGGCGGTTTGAAGACGTCAGATTCTGCTTAGGGGGTTTCATGGGCATCCGCGACCTCTAAGTGGACTCTTGACTATAACAAGTGGTATCAGAGCTGTTCGTGGGTGAATATGGAGGCTGAAGGTTCTGCTCCAGCTGGTCCTAGTTGCATTGGTGGCGTGAGAGGCGCTGGGGAAGCGGGTTGAGGCGTTGCAGGCGGATCTGCACCGATGGCTTCAGTTTCAACATCAGCTAAGGATGATGTGAAGGCATTCAACCTGGAGAAGTTCTCTGGGGATGATTGGGCATCATGGAGCTTCAGGATGGAGCTCCTCTTCAACCATTATGGGCTGCTTGAAGAGATGGATGGAGAATTGAAAAGGCCTATGAGCGAAGGAGCGACCAAAGAATGGGATCGCCGGTCCAAGGATGGATTCTTCCTTCTCTCCCAATGCCTCTCATCCAACCAGCTGCACCACATCAAGCATCTCATCAAGGAAGCTGAGTGTGGTCCTAAGGCATGGAGGATATTGAAGGACGTCCATGCCCCCAGCAGCGAAGCAATGGTGGTGGTGCTCGAGCGACAACTCCATGCGGTGAAGATCAACGAGGGTGATGCCGTACAGGGAGCGTTCGATCAACTCCGGGACCTCTATGTGAATCTCTCTGCTGCTGGTGTGGACTACCCTGAGAAAATCAAGGCTTAAGGCTAACTGCTGTAGAAGTTTCAGCTTCGTATGTTTTCGGAGCTGATCGTGACGGCGTTTTGAACAGAGGCGGTTTGAAGACGTCAGATTCTGCTTAGGGGGTTTCATCGGCATCCGCGACCTCTAAGTGGACTCTTGACTATAACAATATAAGACTTCGCCATGTTGTCTTGTTAAAACGGTTGTCAAACTTAGGCTGCATTTGGCTTGATCCGCTTCATTAGAATAACTGATTTCAAATGGAACTTCATCCAAACGCCCCTGCTGACTCCCTTCGCGAGCACTCATGAACTTCCGTTAACATTCATGAAGCCTCGTGTGGGAAAACCGTTTTCCCGTTGCAAAACGGAATTTACCATTTCAAAACAGCATTTACCGTTTGTACCTTTGTCGAAATGATCACGCAAAGTAGCGTGACTTTCTGGCGAAACCTCATGTTTGCCAAGTCAACACGGGATACAGTTTTTCAACTGTAAATCCCGAGCTCCCCACGTGCCAGCCAGCATGACCAAGATATTTCTCGGTCATGCAGGACAGGACGATTGCGTACAAGATCGTGCGCTGTCCTGGCGCAAGACAGGGCAGTAATGTGCCCTAATCTGTTGCGATCGTGGGCCTTGCCACGCTCGCAACTGAGCCGAAGCACACGCGCGAACCCTGAGGGGCCACACGCGTGTGTCAGGACCCCACGCGCGGGTCCTAACCTTGGCGCGCGGTTGACCTTGACCAGCGCGACTTAGTCAACGTGGCCAAACACTTGCCACTCTCTAAAACGCACAAAAATGTGAACTCTCATGAACTCTAATGAAAGCTCACGAAAACTCATGAGAAACAATGAGCGCACACACAGACTCATGAACAATCGCGAACTCACGCAAACTTACCGAAACTTATGAACTTTCATGCGCTCTCACGGAAACTCATGAACATTCATGAAATGCACTCACACAAAAATGCATGTAACTTATGAACCGCTAAGGCGATTCACAAACCGTAAACGCACAAATGTAAAGCACACAAACGCGCTCCTCACACTCCACAAATTACCTTGAAACAAAAACTCTCATTTTCCTTTGTCGTCGGCGAATAGGCGGTAGGTTGACGTGCAAACCACATTTTGCACTCAACAAACTCCCCCTCAACCTGCCGACTATTCAAACCCACAACCACCGTCAGTGGATTTGATAATTTTCTTCACAGCTTCCACCATTGGCATAGGGACCATATCACCCTTGTCAATCTGCTTCCCCTCGACCGTCTTTACCTTGTTGCCGATCCCAGCTCCAGTTTTTGGGAAGACACTCCTATGCTCCCACACAATAATAGCTTCCTTCAAACTCGGCTTCACCTTGGGTTCTCCTTTCACCTTAAACCCATCAGCTACAAAGCTTGCATAATTGAGCATCATTGTCTTCTCCTTAGCAGCTTCAACCCTCGGCTGCCCCACAACACAAAGCTTCTGCTTCTCATGAGTGTCACCCTTGTACACTCCCTTCTCCTTATCCGCAGCAGCAACAATGCACTTACTCACCTTGGATTCTTCACCATTTTTATCATCAGCCGCTGCTGCATTTCCTTTTTCAGCTGCTGCAAGTCAAGCATTGATTTTGTGCAACTCCTTCACCAGCTTCTCCACGGTAGCTTTCAGCTCCTTCACTTCCGCAGCAGCCTCTGCAACACACTCCCCTTTGCACCCGCAGCTCTCATTCTCCTTTTCAGGCGCCATCTTTCTCCATGGCACCACCGGGACATGCCACAACTCGTCATGCAGGTCCTTGTCTTCATGCAGGTCCCACAACACTCGATCACCAAGACTTCCCTTGAAGGTTTCAGCTCCACTGGTTGCCATGTCCTACACCTACAGGCAAAGAGGACGGGGGAAAGGGTGATGACACGCGAGAATTGGAGGCTCTTGGAGCCCCAAAACCGGCGGGAGGCACCATACGTAGTGCCCTTGACCCCCGATGTCGGCACTGATTTGGAGTTCACATCGGCGTTAGCTGCTGACCTACCATTCCTGCGAGGCACATTGAACAATGTGAAGAATGAGGAATGGATGAACTAGGAAAGAGGTGGGTACAAGTAGGAAAACCTAGAAATGTTGTACCCCATATAGTCTACCCCACTACAGCCTACACAGACCATAGCATATGAGTTTGACACACCCCAATAGGCAAAGTGGGGGAGAACAAGAGGTCACAAGACCAGTCAAGCAAAGCAAAGCAAGCTCAGGGTAGATCACAACGTCACCATACATTCCGAGCACAAGAGCAAGGCCAAAAGGCCAGTTCACATACAAGATCATATATAGAGGTAATCACGCAAGTGCAAGTATTGAAAGATCACAGTACAAGCAAGGTCAAGAAGTGAGCAAGTGAGGCCAAGTAGGCACAAGACCTAGCATCGTACAAAAGCGCTGATGATCACCAGGCGGAAGTGCCTTGGTAAAGATATCAGCACTCTTGGCCTTAGAGGCCACGTAAGCAAGCCGCAGCTGACCATGCTGTTGTAGCTCACGAGCAAGGAAGTAGCGAAGAGCAATGCGCTTCGTTCTGTGCTCCAGTCTGTGCTCCCGAGACAAGGCCAGCATGGCCTTGCTGTCTACGTACAGAACTAGAGGAGAACGAGGCGGCTCTCCTAGGTCAGTCAGCAGGTAGGTGAGCCACCGTAGCTCCTGTGCAGCCATGGCCCCCGCGTTGATCTCCGCCTCACAGCTGGAGCCGAGAACAGAAGACGAGCGGGTAGACCGCCACGAAACAAAGCCTGAGCCAAGGCTGAAGGTGTCACCCTGTGACGGCCGCTGCGTAGCCTGGTCGTCAGCCCAAGAAGCGTCTGCGTGACCTGTGAGGACCACTCGACGTCGCCCTCCAAGCACTAGCCCCATGCCCGACGTAGTGCACAAGTAGCGCAACACCCTCTTCGCTGCAGCCATGTGCTCTGGTCGGTGTCTCCCAGGAGCAACATAGCGTGCCAAGATGCAAAGAGGGTATGCAAGGTCAGGTCGTGTGCAGGTCATCAGGTACATGAGGCAGCCAACAAGCTCTGGGTACGGGCCACTCGGCTCTACGGACTCATCCGAAGGCAGAGCTGAGAGCGAGCGGCGAGTAGACAGAGGAGTGGCCTGAGGCGAGGAGTACGTGATGGACCTGCTGCACCATGTGTGACTGAGTCAGGGTAATGGTGCGCTGTGCTCTGTCCCGGGTGATCTGCAAGCCAAGGTAGCTGCGCAACTCACCCAGGTCTTTGCACGTGTGTCTCTTCTGCAGCTCGGACTTCACGTGGGCGAGTCCAGCAGTGTCAGCAGTGGCAAAGACCAATTTGTCGACGTACACGAAGATGTAGAACGGCGGCAAAGAGGTGTCGGTGCGCAGAAACAGCGACGGGTCGGGAGTAGAAGGATCAAACCCAAGGGCCGCAAGTGTAGTCCTCAGTGTATCGTGCCACTCACGGGGCGCCTGGCGGAGACCGTAGACTGGCCGCCGGAGGCTCCACTGGGTACCAGGGGGAAACGACCCAGTGAAGCCAGGTGGGCGGCGCAGCCAGATCTCCTTGTGCAGGCTGCCCTGCAAGAAAGCTGTGCTAAAGTCAAGAGAGTGAAGCTCGTAGTCGCGCTGAGCGGCTATGTGCAGCAGCACCCGAAGAGTGGTCATCTTCGGGGTGGGAGAGAAGGTCTAAAAGTAGTCTACTCCCTGCCGCTGACTGAAGCCTCGAGCCACGTAACGCGCCTTGAAGACAGGCGGAGAACCCGGCGGCCGCTTCACCCCGAAAGTCCACATGCCATCGACGATGTTCGCCCTAGGCGGGGGAACCTCGTCGACGTAGGTGCCTGTGGACTTCCAGGAAGCCATCTATGCGTCCATGGTTGACTGCCACTGTGAGGAGTAGAGACCCTCGATCGCCTTAGCGTACGATCGAGGAGTCGGGATGTCTGGTGCATCCGGGTCTCCCTCAGGGGCAATGAGCGTGGACACGAGATGAGGCAAAGCAGCAGCAAAACACTGGAACTCCTCCTGCCTGTCCTCAAGGACGTCCGTGCTAAGAGCACACTCACCCCCCGACGGACGGAGGACAGACAGACTCAGACTCAGCAACAAGACTAGCAGCGTAGTCTAGACGACAACGAGCAGCAAAGTCAACAAGCTCAGCAACTAAGGCAGACGCAGCAGTGGACTCAAAGGAAGGGTCATTGACAATAGTGGCCAGGAGACGCCTGACAGTAGGACTGGCAGCACGAAGAGAGTCAGACTCCGGGTCAGCAAGAGTAGGAAGAGAGGACTCTGGAGGAGACGGCAATGGGACACGCAGAGGAGCAGTGGAAGGACGCAGTGCCATCTGGTGTGTGCCTGGGACCGCAGGAGGACGCGGACGCAGAGCACGACCACTAGTGCGAGCAGCACAAACATGCGACGCAGGACGAGACGCAGGCTCACAACGCTCAGCAAGACCTCCAGTAGGACCAGTGTAGGGAGAAGGAGCAGGTAGGGGGGAAGCGGGCTGTAACTTTGACTGCGACAGGACAGGCTGTGGACACTCTAAGGAAGGGGCAGGACTAGTAGAAGGCGGGAGACCAAGAACCTGCTCAAGGATCGGAACGAAGTATGGCTGCGGCCGCGTAGCGCCTCCAGAACTGGCAGGGACAGCACCAGTACCCCTAGCGGCAGCACCAGCGCCAGCAGTACCTCCAGCTCAAACAGCGCCTACTCCAGCACCCTCAGACGCACCAGCGCCAGTAGAACCACCAGAGCCAACACCCCCAGCAGCTCAGCTCTAGCAGATCCAGCAGCACGAACTCCAAGAGGACCAACAGCTCTAGTACTGCCAGCAGCTCCAGCAGTACCTCCAGCACGACGAACTCCAGCAGCCTGAGCAGCACCCTCAGTCCCAGTAGCTCCAGTACCGCCAACACGATCACCTCCGGGACCAGCAGCAACAGAAGCACCTCCGGCTCTAGCAGCACGGCTCCAGCGCCAGGCAAACCACTCGCGCAGCTACTACGGAGAGAGTAGGTCCCACCTCGACGAAGCACCGCGAGAGATCACACGAGCAGACCCAACACCCCCTAGCTCCGCACACCCAGGCTCAGCACCCCCAGGCTCAGCACCCCCAGACTCAGCACCCCCAAACTCAGCACCCCCAGGCTCAGCACCCCTAGACTCAACACCCCCAGGCTCCGCACCCCCAGGCTCAGCACCTCCAGCAGCACCTGAGTCAACAGCTACCTTGACAGGCTTGATTGCGTCTACCTGGGACACACCTGACGGGGCAGGACCCTTAGGGGGGAGGGGGTCTACCAGGGGAGGACCTGGCGTAAGGAAGAGTGGCGGTAGGGGGAAGGGCGCAGTGCGGTAGGGGAAGAGACGGTAGTAAGGCACCGACTCATCAAAGGTGACATCATGGGAGGACAGAACACGGCGCGAGGTGGGGTGGTAAAACTGCCAGCCAGGCGCGTCAGGGGGGAAGCCAAGGAAGACGTAGGGAACAGCACGGGGAGACAGCTTGTCTGCAGACAAGTCACGGACAAACGCCCGAGATCCCCAGACCCAAAACGCAGACGCATCGCCAACCTTCCCCGTCCACCGCAAGGTGGGGGAGGTCTCTGGCAAGGAGACCCGGGGCTGAAGGTTCAGCAGATGCGCTGCGTACTGAACCGCAAACGGCCACAGAAAATGGGGAGCAGCCGCATGGATCATGGACGTACGAGCGACGTCGATGACCATGCCAATGCGGCGCTCAGCAATCCCATTTTGCTGTGGAGAGGCCGGAAGCGTGAAGGTCTGGCGGATGCCTTGTGCACGACAGAAGGCTCCCAGATGGGCAGAGGAAAACTCCCCGCCTCTGTCAGAGTGCAGACGCAGAACAGGAAAGTCCGAGCCGAAACTCTCTCTGAGCTGGAGACGAGCTGTGCGGATCCAGTTGATCAACACCTCAGTGACGTCACCCTTGCTGCGCAAGGGGAACACCGTCGTGTAACGCGAGTAGTCGTCAACCACCAACAGGAAGTAATGCTCGTGACCCTGGCCACGGACGCGGGCGGGGCCCCATACGTCCATGTGAAGAGTCTGCAGGGAAGCCTCTGTCGGGGGAAACTCGGAGGTGTGAGGGGCGGCGCGCTGCCGCCCCTCGACGCAGGGGACGCAGGTAGGGGCAGGCCCCGGAGGTAGGGGAGGGAGGGACCGGGGGAGACCAGAGACAAGGACACGGGAGGCCATGCCTCGGAGACGAGGCAGGGAGGGGTGACCAAGGCGATGGTGCCAAAGGAGAGTCTGGTGGGACAGGAGACGACACAAGCAGGTCGCAGACTCAGGACCAGACCTGGACGCTGCAGCAAACACCTGACTCGACGCAGCTACCTGACCAGACTCAGCAACCGGAGGAGACTCAGTAGTCAGTGTGTACAGGCTCGCCCCCGGCCGACAGGCAAACCTGGCCAAGTGTCGGCCCGTCTGAGCACACGTATAGCGGGTCACCCGCTGACTCGCTGGCATGAACTGGTGAACCCCCCGATCCTGTAGATCAGCTCCACTCACCAATTTCGTAGAGAACGAGGGGAGGTAGAGACCTAACACGGTGCCAGAGGGGGCTGCGGGACACGATGAGACAGTGGAGAAGCTAGCAAGGACAGGACCCCCAGAGGGGTCCGCCAGGGAGACCGCAGCCGGCCGATTAAGCGGCGTAAGGCCTGAGAAGACGTGGTACCTGAGAGAGCAGACTCACTAGCACCTGGGGAAGTAGACGCACTAGCACCTAGAGCAGCAGCCTCAATGCCAGGGTCAGGCGGAACACACCGGTAACAAACACCCTCAACACTATCAGACACAACATACATGGCAGCAAGAATAGCATCATAATCAAGATCAAATATAGCAACCCCCGCCCTAGACAGATCTCCCCAGCGATGGATCTCAGTGGCATCAGGGAACTGGTGACGCCCCGCGTCCTTCAGGCGGCCGAAGCAGCGCTGGGTGGAGTGCGTGCCCCCGCACTGCTCACCAGCGCGGTTGCCGGTACGGAGGACGTTGGTGCAGGGACCAGTACCCCCACCCCGCTGACACCCAGCGTACAACTCACGAAGCTGCTGAGGGGTCAGGGTCTCACGACTTCGCTGCTGCTGCTGGCGCGTAACACGACCGGAGCCACTCCTCTGCGCAGAGTTGCGACCAGCTCCAACGCTGCCTCCGCCGCCTCCGCCACCTCCGCCGCCTCCGCCACCTCCGCCGCCTCCGCCACCTCCGCCGCCTCCGCTCCCTCCGCCACCGCCGCCGCCTCCTCCGCCTCCATTGCTGCCACCGCCACCTCCACCCCCGCCACCATTCCCACCACCACCCCCACCCCCTCCACTGCCTCCACCACCACCTCCACCGCCCCCGCCAGCCCCTCCAACGCCCTTGCCCCCCTTGCCCTTGCCAGTGCGGCGTCTCCCGCTAGGGACAGACGCAGCGCCGACCGACTCGAAGCCAACGAGGGCGGCCGCAGCAGTAGAAACAACAGAGGGCAAGAGGGGGGAGGGAGAACACCCCTCAAAGACGGGGGTGCGAGGGTCACCACGAGAGGCTCCTACAGCGACTAAGCTCTTCTCTGCTGCTAGGAGGCACTCCTCGAGGAGGTCAACGGTGAGTGTGGTGGGGCAAACTGAGAGGAAGTGGTCCCTGACTAAGCGAAGGGAGTCAGGGAGCCGGGTGACTATGTAGTAGAGGGTGATGAACATGGGGGGGGGGGGGGTTCTTGGCACAGAACTCAGCAGGAAGCGCAGCGCGGTAGCGAGTGTCGCTAGAGCGAACGTGCGTAATGAGGTCAGCGACTGTGGAAAAGGCAGCAAGGTCAGGGAACAGGTATGGTAGCATGAGGCGTCTAAGTGCAGCAGTGGCAGGGGAAGAACAGTGTGCAACTACAACATCGTACAAGGTCTTAGCACTCTTATACTGGCTAAAGTGCGCACGCTCAATGGTCGGTAAGTGGTGACGCACAGCAAGACGGGCTGCAGCATCGTGCGTGGCCCACTGTGAGCGAACAGCGCTGTCAGCAGTATGCGGAGATAACTGCAGCAACGGGAGCTAGACTACGGGCTAGGCACGTGTGCTCGTGTGATCTCTGCGTTCTGTGTTCCTTAGTCGTTTTCCTTGTGCACACACTACTTGCTAGTTCACGGGGAAAATTGGCAAGAGTTCCACTAGGAAAAGTTCGGAACAATAATAGCAACAACATTGGCAACATTGACTACATCAGAGCTAGCTAGACTGCTGGTCGACCTCCAGCGCAGCACGGTCGACCGCGTTCCAGCGCAGCAGCGCTCGCACCGCTCCAGCGTTGCAGAGTAGCGGTTCTCCAACGTTGCAAGTCCACGGTGTGCCAGCGCTGCACCAAGTCGGCTGCACAGCGTTGCACCCGCACGACAACGATGCACCTGCTTCGCAGATGCACGCAACTGGTTGGTGAGCACTTCCCTGTCACGTGCACAATGTAGACGCCTGGCAGATCCCATGCCAGCGACTGTGCCCACCAGCCACGTCGACCTCACCAGGTCGACGACACCATCGGTCGACCTCCTCCAGATCGACGTCCCCTCTGGTCGACCAGCTCCACGTCGACCAGCACTCCTGGTCGACCTGCTCCTCGTCGACCAGCGCAGTCGTCGGCCGACCACCCACGTCGGCCACCCGAAGCTGGCGTCACGAAGTTGACGCCCCGCTACTCGACGCCCAACTGCTCGGCGTCCTGTGTCAAGGTCGACGTCGGCCCCTCCTTCGTCGACCACCAGGTCCAGTCGACCGCCCGCAGGTCGACCAGCGGTCCATCAGCCGACCACCGAAGTCGGCTTCACCAAGTTGACGTCCTCCGCAGGTCGACTCCCAAGTCGACCTCCCTGAAGTCGGCGCCTCCCTGAAGTCGGCGCCCGTGCAGTGGTCCCCCGTGCAGGTCGACCTCCTCGTCGACCAGCTCACCCACTGCTGCAGGTCGGCTGCTCCCCTCACACCCGACCACGAAGTCGGCTCCGCCCAAGCGAGGACGGGGCCAATACCCAACTCCCGTTGACACTCCCCTGCCGCGTTCACGCTTGGGCATTCAGCCCACACGGCAGTACAGCTCGGAGACTAGCTCGTCGACGTGCACCCAACACATAGCACGTCGTTCACCGCACCAGCCATGCAAAAGGGCATGGCACCTACTGCTGCACGTCATCGACTTCGTTGCCATCGTCGGCCAAGCGCACCTGGCCGATGGCGATGGAGCACCGGTTGAAGGCTGGAGAGTGCAGCGCCTTCGTCAGGAAGTCGGCCGGCTGCTCAGCGGTTGGGATGTGCTGCAGCGAGAACTTCCCGCGCCTCACCATGTGCTGCAGCCAGGCCTGTCGCCGTTCCATGTGCTTGAGGTTGCCCATCAACCCCATGCCCTCGGCGACAGTGATGGCCAACTTGTTGTCCACGCGCAGGACAGTCGGCTTCCCGGTGTCCAGTTGCCGGAATTCTGCGAGGAGGAAGCGAAGGCGGCGTCCCTCCTTGCCAGCTTCAGTGGCCGCAACGTACTCCGACTCGGTCGACGACATCGTCGCGCACTTGATGCGCTGGCTTGACTAGGAGACTGCAGCCCCTCCGTAGACGAACACGTAGCCGCTCGTGCTCGTCCTGTTCTGCTTGTCACCGGCGTCATCGGCGTCCACGTAGCCGACCAGCTCCAGCGACTCAGGTCCACCGCCGAACTCCAGGGCGGTGTCACGTGTGTTGGCGAGGTAGGCGAGGCAGCGGTCGACCTTGCGCCAGTGTTGGTCGCTCCTCACCTTGAGGCCGCTCCCCAGCTTGCTGCAGGCGAAGGTGACATCCGACCTCGTCGTCGTCGCCGCGAACTGCAGCGAGCCGACCTTCTGCCGGTACTCCTCCTCCTGCCGTTCCTGCGCCTCCTCGTCATCGAAGGTGAGCTCGGCGTAGGCACCGACCGAGACCGGCGTCTTCGGGGTGCGCCCGGTCTGCTCCTCGTCGAGGAAGCGCCTACGCAGCTTGTCGGCGTAGCCCTGCTGGTGCAGCCACAGCTTCCCCGCCGACCTGTCGCGCACGATCTCCAGCCCGAGGTACTTCTGTACCGGCGAGATCTCGCGCAGCTCAAAGGCAGCTTCCAGCAGCTCCTTCAGCTCCTTCAGCATCGCGGCGCTGCTGCTGGAGGCAAGCAGGTCGTCGACGTAGACAAGCACCCAGCAGGCCACTCCATCCTCGCCAACCTTGAAGTAAAGAGCCTCGTCGACCTGGCTCTTCTTCCACTCGGCGCCGACCAGCACATCGTGTGAAACAAGGAAAACAGGAAAATGAAATGACTATGAAAGATTGGGTACAAATACAACCCTAGAAACCCTGTACCCCATATGTGCTACCCCACTATAGCCTACAGAAACTATGTCATATAAATCTGACACACCCCCATAGGCAAAGTGGGGGAGAACAAGGGGTCACAAGACCAGTCAGGTAAAGCAAAGCAGAGCAAGCTCAGGGTGGATCACAACGTCACCACACAGTCCGAGCACAAGAGCAGGGCCAGAGGCCAGTTCACATGCAGGAGTACAGACATATATATATAGAACTAGACAAGCAAGAGCAGGTAGTATAAATATATGTCACAGTACAAGTGAAGTCAAGAGGAGAGCAAGTGAGGCAAGACAGGCACAAGACCCAGCTGGGTGCAAAAGCGCTGATGGTCACAAGGCGCGAGTGCCTTGGTGAACACATCAGCAGTGTTGGCCTCAGAGGCCACGTACGCAAGTCGCAACTGACCACGCTGCTGCAGCTCACGAGCAAGGAAGTAGCGGAGAGCAATGTGCTTCGTTCTGTGCTCCAAGCGCTGCTCTCGACACAAGGCCAGCATGGCCTTGTTGTCTACGTACAGCACTAGAGGAGAACGAGGCGGCTCTCCAAGGTCAGTCAGCAGGTAGGTGAGCCAGCGAAGCTCCTGTGCAGCCATGGCCCCGGCGTAGATCTCAGCCTCACAACTGGAGCCGAGAACCGAAGACGAGCGAGTAGACCGCCACGAGACAGAGCCGGAACCAAGGCTGAAGGTGTAACCCTGTGACGACCGCTGCGTAGCCTGGTCGTCAGCCCAAGAAGCGTCCGCGTGGCCGGTAAGGACCACTGGACTCCGCCCTCCAAGCACTAGCCCCATGCCCGACGTGCTGCACAGGTAGCGCAATACCCTCTTCGCTGCAGCCATGTGCTCTGGTATGTGTCTCCCAGGAGCAACATAGCGAGCAAGAATGCTCAGAGGGTATGCAAGGTCAGGTCGTGTGCAGGTCATCAGGTACATGAGGCAGCCAACAAGCTCTGCATACGGACCACTCGACTCTACGGACTCATCCGAAGGCAGAGCTGAGAGTGAGTGGCGAGTAGGCAGAGGAGTGGCCTGAGGCGAGGAGTACGTGAAGCCGAAGCGCTGAAGGACCTGCTGCACCATGTGTGACTGAGTCAAGGTAATGGTGCGGCGTGCTCTGTCCCGAGTGATCTGCAAGCCAAGGTAGCTGCGCAGTTCACCCAGGTCTGTGCACGTGTGTCTCTTCAGCAGCTCGGACTTCACGTAGGCGAGTCCAGCAGTGTCCGCTGTGGCAAAGACCAAGTCGTCGACGTACACGAGGATGTAGAACGGCGGCAGGGAAGTGTCGGTGCGAAGAAACAGCGACGGGTCAGCAGTAGAAGGAGCAAACCCAAGAGCCGCAAGCGTAGTCCTCAGTGTGTTGTGCCACTCACGCGGTGCCTGGCGGAGACCGTAGACTGGCCGTCGGAGGCTCCACTGGGTGCCAGGAGGGAAAGTCCCAGTGAAGCCAGGTGGACGGCGAAGCCAGATCTCCTCGTGCAGGCTACCCTGCAAGAACGCAGTGCTGAAGTCGAGAGAGTGAAGCTCGTAGTCGCGCTGAGCGGCTATGTGCAGCAGCACCCGAAGAGTAGTCATCTTCGGGGTGGGAGAGAAGGTCTGAAAGTAGTCAACTCCCTGCCGCTGACTGAAGCCACGAGCAACGTACCGTGCCTTGAAGACAGGTGGAGAGCCCGGCGGCCGCTTCACCCTGAAGATCCACATGCCACTGACGATGTTCGCCCCAGGAGGGGGAACCGCGTCAACGTAGGTGCCTGTGGACTTCCAGGAAGCCATCTCTGCATCCATAGCTGCCTGCCACTGAGAGGAGTAGGGACCCTCTACGGCCTCCGCGTAAGAACGCGGAGTCGGGATGTCTAGTGCATCCGGGTCTCCCTCAGGGGCAAGCAGTACAGACGCGAGATGAGGTGAAGCAGCCGCTAGACACTGTAACTCCTCCTGCCTGTCCTCTAGGACGTCCGTGCTAAGAGCACACTCACCCCCGACGGACGGAGGACAGACAGACGCAGACTCAGCAACAAGACTAGCAGCGTAGTCGAGACGACAGCGAGCAGCAAAGTCGACGAGCTCAGCGACTAGAGCAGACGCAGCAGTGGACTCAAAAGAGGGGTCAGTGACGACAGTAGCAAGCAGACGCGTGACAGTAGGACTGGCAGCACGAAGAGAGTCCGACTCAGGGTCGGCAAGCGCAGGAAGAGAGGACTCAGGAGGAGAAGGCAAAGGGGCACGCAGAGGAGCAGTGGACGGACGCAAAGACATCTGGTGCGTGCCAGGGACAGGAGGAGGACGCTGACGCGAACTGCGACCACTAGCGCGAGCAGCACGAACAGGCGACGCGGGACGAGACGCAGGCTCACGACGCTC